TCTTAGTTGATGCAAGTGGGATCTTTGCATTGTATCTTTTGTTGCAGCAAGCAGGCTCAGTAGCTCCATGGCATGTGGGATCTTAGTTCTCTGACCAGGGGTTGAACTCATGACTCCTGCATTGCAAGGTGAATTCTTAACCAGTGGACCACCAGAGAAGTCCCCATGCAGGATATTATTGATGTAAATCCAATGACATACAAATAGCACTGTTCGTGGATGGAGGCACATGTGTGGAAGGAGGGTTGGGAGGAAGTTGGGCCAAGGTGCGGCTGTGTGATGTGAGAGTGGGTGCAGCAGCAGGGATGAGGGCCACGAGGAAGGAGTGTCTGTCTGGGTGTTTGGGCAGCCTCCCCAAGGTAGATGGTGGTATCATGCCACTGATGGAGGGAACGGTAACTTGGATTTGTTCAAATCCAGGCCCCAGGGAAAAGCACACCACTCCAGGGGCATTGTCTGCAGAGGAGGCTCTGAGGGCCACAGAGCTGCAGTGGAGAGGAGAGGCTGGGCGGGCTGGGGGTGGTTGGCGGGTGTGCAAACAAACCCTGCAGGGCTTGTGCTGCCCCTGNTCATTGGGAGGACTGATCCTGAAGCTGAAACTCCAATACTTTGGCCACCTGATGTGAAGAGGTCCTGATGCTGAGAAAGATTGAAGGTGAGAGGAGAAGGGGGCGACAGAGGATGAGATGGTTGGATAGCATCACCGACTCAATGGATTTGAGTTTGAGTAGGCTCTGGGAGTTGGTGATGGACAGGGAAGCCTGATGTGCTGCAGTCCTTGGGGTCGCAAAGAGTCAGACACGACTGAGTAACTGAACTGAACTGAATGAAATTCCTAAACTCACAAAGGACTTTGGAATGAAGTTGTGGCATTTTTTTCTGCACTTGCAGAATGCTCATTCAAGTAACTAGTAATGAGCTAAAGTAATGCTCATTCAAAGGAATGCCAAATCTAAAACTAAATCAAGGTGAATGTCATTTGCCTAAAGAAGAGCCCCATTAACCATGGGGAGGAAAATGGTGATCCCATGAAGAATATTGGGAAAAGGTAAATTCTGCATAGCTAAAATGCAGAAAGGTAAATTCTGCATAGCTAAAATGGAGAAATAACGCTTTAATAATGCAGGTGATCACATTTTTATTAACGAAGTCTCCTTAGCAAGGAAGCAAATACATCCTTGAGAGGAGTCTGAAATTAATCCTCTGATAGGCACTACTTATATATTCTAACTATAGTTGTAACCTGCACTGAATGCCTACTTTCTAAATTCTTCGTCACTTTATTAAGAACCAGAAAAGGGACTTGCTGCAATACAATGAGAACTACTCCTGAACTCTGAAAAAGAGAAAAACTGAGAGACAATTTAGCATGGAGCTGAAAATGCTGGGTGTGATTTAATTAAATGTAATTAATTAATTAAATTTATTAAATTCGTTTCATAAAATTATTCTTCTTTTTGGTTTTTGGATTGGTACACCCGTAAGGGTTCAAACAGCACCACGTTTCAGCACTCTATTTCCAGGGCAAGATAAAAATGCGTATCAGAGGAAAGTAATAATTCATCATTTGTAATAGTTACATCCCACTTTAGAAACCACTAGAGACTGCTTAACATTCTTATTTCCAACATGGTCTTCCTGAGTTCTCAGGTGACAAATGGAAACTGATGCCATAAAGCTTTTTTCCTGTTTGTTCCTGATAGAAAGGGCTAGATGCGGAGTTCATTTTCATCTGGGCTGACACTCGGCTCTGAGCTTTCGCCACCTGCTCCTTCCCTTCCCTCTTTGTGCCACTCCTTTAAAAGTCTCCAGAGGCAACATCTGGGTCCAGTCACTGAAAACAGATGGGTTCTTCTCCCTCCTCTCTGGGCCCCTGGAGACCTGTGCCCGGCGGGGGGCTGGGGAGGGGGCAGGGGGAGTGCGCTATTGTAACAGAATGACATGCTGACTGCATTTTTTCCTGTGTGTGTTCAGGGCATTCCTGTCATTAGAACCCATCCTGTATCTGTACAGTCCTTCTCATCACGGATGGATTTCCCTATTTCAAAATCTTCCTCAGATTTCTTGATGCTGTCATTGGGTCCTATTATTTTTCTTGTTATTATGATTTTTCCTCTGTGACTTTCTACAGCCAAATCCTCTTCATCTGTCATGGAACCAGAGGCCAAATTTCCTGAAAATCATCACTTTAGCTTACCATCACTTTTGCTTACCATCATTTATTGCTTAATCAGTAACAGGTTCAGAATCAACTTGGGTTTCTTCAGTGCTGTGGCAATATCAGCTCTTTGACGTTTCTTCCTGGTGTTAAGACTTCATACATTGGCGCCAAGCCTCTTTCTCTGTTTCTTCCTCTTAAGGAAAAAGATCTAAATGTTCCACTTTGGTTATGGGAACAAAGGCTTTTGGAGATTAGTAATTAAGAGTAATAAAAAAGTTTTATTGAACACTATGAGTCAGGCTTCTCTGGTGGTTCAGCAGGAAAGAATCTGCCAATGCAGGAGACATGGGTTCGATCCCTGGGTTGGAAAGATCCCCTGGGGAAGGATATGGCAACCCATTCCAGTATTCTTGCCTGGGAAGTCTCATGGACAGAGAAGCCTGGTGGGCTACAGTCCATGGGGTCGCAAATGAGTCAGCCCTGAGAAGCAGAAGGCAGAAATCAAACAGAGTCTGGGACACGGATGAGGCCTTGGTTATCACAGGGTGTGGGCACCGTGTTTAAAGGCTGGCCCTGGGTGTGATGTTCTGGCAGCCTCCCTAACCCTGTGAAGAGCCTGTGCTCTTGGCAAGTTCACCTGAGCACATGCACATTGACCTGAGCATCCTCATTCCAGTCCTTACTCTTAAGCCCAGGGCCATGAGGCTCCCCAGGGTCCCAAGCACTGTACTGCACTCAGAAGGAAGGGAGAGGCACTGGAACTTTTCTCCTCCTGCATGCCTGGCTGGGAGGCGGGGGCGGGCTGGGATACTGGGCAGGACGCAAGCACTCCTGGGTTGCTGGTGTGACTCTTTTTTGATTGTGCCCGGTCTTCGTTGTTGCATGGGCTTTTCTCTAATTGCAGCAAGTTGAGGCTGTTCTGTGGTTGTGGTGTGCAGGCTCCAGGGCACATGGGCATTAGAAGTTGCAGCTCCTGGGCTCCAGAGCACAGGCCCAAGAGCTGTGGTGCATGGGCTTAGCTGTCTTGTGGCATGTGGGATCTTCCCAGATCAGGGATGGAGCCCAGGTCTCCTGCACTGGCAGGCAGATTCTTTATCACTGAACCAGCAGGGAAGCCCAGGCTTGACTCTTAACAGAACCCATCAAGGAATTCCATACTCTGGACAGCGCCCAGGGATGTACTAGGGCCATTAGCCAGGCTCCAGAGCTGGGACGGTGGTCAAACCCGCCCCTGCCTTCTGGGAGCCAGCAGTGAGCACGGTCTGATGGAAACCTCTGGAGGAGGCTCCCCTGGGGGACAGCATGGCCCCCCTCGCCAGTGCTCTCGCCTGGAGAACCCCACAGACAGAGGAGCCTGGCGGGCTGCAGTCCGTGGGGTCCCAGAGTCAGACACGACTGAGCGACTGAGCACACAGAATTTAGTAAGGGAAAGAGGAGGCGTTGGGCAGGTCCAGGGCACAGAAATCTCCATGGGTCTCACTCTGTTTTCAATGTTTCATTTTACTTTCTGTGATTTTGAGGCCAAGATGAACATTCGCACTTCCTCACCCCCGGAGGCTAACACTTCGGACCGGATCACTCTTTGCTTCAGAAGCGGGCTCGGAGGCTAACGCTTCGGCCCGCATCACTCTTTGCTTCAGAGGCGGGCTCGGAGGCTAACACTTCAGCCTGCATCACTCTTTCCTTCAGAAGCGGGCTCGGAGGCTAACGCTTCGGCCCGCATCACTCTTTGCTTCAGAGGCGGGCTCGGAGGCTAACACTTCAGCCTGCATCACTCTTTCCTTCAGAAGCGGGCTCGGAGGCTAACGCTTCGGCCCGCATCACTCTTTGCTTCAGAGGCGGGCTCGGAGGCTAACACTTCAGCCTGCATCACTCTTTCCTTCAGAAGCGGGCTCGGAGGCTAACGCTTCGGCCCGCATCACTCTTTGCTTCAGAGGCGGGCTCGGAGGCTAACACTTCAGCCTGCATCACTCTTTCCTTCAGAAGCGGGCTCGGAGGCTAACGCTTCGGCCCGCATCACTCTTTGCTTCAGAGGCGGGCTCGGAGGCTAACACTTCAGCCTGCATCACTCTTTCCTTCAGAAGCGGGCTCGGAGGCTAACGCTTCGGCCCGCATCACTCTTTGCTTCAGAGGCGGGCTCGGAGGCTAACACTTCAGCCTGCATCACTCTTTCCTTCAGAAGCGGGCTCGGAGGCTAACGCTTCGGCCCGCATCACTCTTTGCTTCAGAGGCGGGCTCGGAGGCTAACACTTCGGCCCGCATCACTCTTTCCTTCAGAAGCGGGCTCGGAGGCTAACGCTTCGGCCCGCATCACTCTTTCCTTCAGAAGTGGGGAGGACTGTCCAGTGCAGTGTCCCCTGCCTCTACCTGCTAGCAATTCCTGCTCAGTTGCAACAACCAAAATGTTTCCATCTGTCAGCAAATGTTCCCTGGAAGACCTAGTCACCTCTGGTTCAGAATCATGGCTTTAAAAGGCAGAACCATTCTTTGCTAAATGTGGGGGGTAGGTTTAAGCAGTTTCGGTCCTTGAACTTCTTCAGGCAGTGATCGCATTAAAACACCCTCACTTTACCCACCCCTCATTTGTTTGTTTGGGAATGACAGTCACCACTGGGCTGAGGGCCACCGATGAGGGACCCCACTTGGCCAGCGGGATACTGGCAAATTTAGCATTAGGTTTTGTGGGTGTCATTTGGTCAGTGTAAGTGGGGAGTAACTTGGGGACCCTAAATTCAACACGAGGGCTCAGACCAGAGTGGGGACTGTCCTTTCTCTGCAGAGTCATTTTCCCAGATAACCCGAGTCGCTCAATCCCAAATATTTGACAAGAGCCACTGACCTCGGTGAATATGTGCCAGAGACAGGCAGGTGATGTGGTGAAGACACGAGTTCCAGGCCCTGAAAAAGTCCTCCTTCTTGGTCATCACCTGCCAAATCGACAGAAAAAAAAACAACAAATCCACTGGTGATATTCTGAGAGAATGGAACTTACCAGCAAGGCAGATGGCAGATAATGTACATCTCAGTACAACCATTAAGCAGGGTATGTTGCATGCAAGGCCTCCTGTAGGCTCACCTCTGTCACCCCTAAGAGCTTTAGTTAGATGAAGAAATGCCATAACATTCTGTGAGTCCGGTTTACATGTTCCCATTAATTCCTCACTCACATCAAGCGTGGTGGCGCATGTGCACTCATTCATTCAGTTGAGTCTGATGCTTGGTGACCCCGTGGACTATAGCCCACCAGGCTCTTCTGTCCATGGGATTCTCCAGGCAAGAATACTGGAGTCGGTGGCCATGCCCTCCTGCAGGGGATATTCCCAACTCAGGGATCAAACCCAAGTCTCCTGCATTGCAGGCAGATTCTTTACCGCTGCACCACTGGGGAAGCCCAGCCATGGTGGTACCACGCTGCATTTCTTGAGGTGTGACCAGCGTTGAAGAAACAGTTTGAAGGAGAGGGACAGAGAATGTGAGATAGTTTTAGTCAGGTCACTCACTGCCTGGAAAATTCTAAATAGCAGAACTAACTAAATCTAGTCTGCAACAAAACCAACCCACCTTCCCACCCTCCTTCCCCATATTGTAGTCACATATTGCCAGGTTTTCAATTTTTTTCTTTTTCTTTCTTCTTCTTTTCTTTTTTGTCTTCTTAAAATTTTTCTTAAAAGCTTTTGCTTGAACTTCATTTCCTGACAGTTCTGGAGGCGGGAAGTCCAATATCGGGGTGCAAGCTCAGTCAGGTTCTGGTGGGACTCTCTTCTTGGCTTGAGGACGGATGCCTCCCTTCTGGTTTTACACAGCTGCCCTGCTGCTGCAAAGCTGCTTCATCCTGTCCAACTCTGAGGCCCCATGGGTCCTCTGCCCACAGGATTCTCCAGTGGATTGCCATGCCCTCCTCCAACCCAGGGATCAAACCTGCATCTCTTATGTCTCCTGCATTGGCGGGCAGGTTCTTTATCACTAGCTCCACTAGGATGCAGAGAGAGCTATCTCTCTCTTCTTATAAGGCATCTGATCCCATTATGAAGTTTCTTCATGGCCTTCATGGCCTCATCTAACCCTTCCTTCACCTTCACGGCCTCATCTAACTCTAGTGACCTCTCAAAGGTGCCATCTCCAGATCCATCACATTGGGAATGAAGGCTTCGACATTTGAATCTGGAGGAGGGATGCAGACATTCAGTCCATAACAATATTCCTTTTGATTTTCATTACAAAATTATATGTACTAATTCTTAGAGGAATCTTATAATAGAAAGGCCATGGACTTTGGGGCTTGAGAAATAAAAATTGAAACTACAGCCCCATTACTATCTACTTTGGGTGGTGTGGACAAATTATTTCACTTCTGAGACATTAAAAAATTTTTTTAAGTCTGTCATATAGAGTGAAGTAAGTCAGAAAGAGAAAAACAAACATTGTAAACATATATGTATATACATATATATATCAAATATCATATGTTAACACACATACACATATATAAATATGGAATCTAGAAAAAATGGTTCTGATGGACATATTTGCAGGCTAGGAATAGAGACGAAGATTTAGAGAACAGACTTGTGGGCATGGAGAGGAAGGCGGGGCGGGACGAATTGAGTCGCATTAGCATATATACACTACCATTTGTGAAATAGACAGCTAGCAGGAAGCTGTCGTACAGAACAGGAAGTTCAGCTCAGTGCTCTGTGATGACCTAGAAGGGGTGGGATGGGGGGTGGCGGGAGAGGGACCCAGGAGAGAGGGGACATATGTGTGATATAACTGACTCACATGTTGTACAGCAGGAACTAGCACCACACTGCAAAGCAATTATACTCCAATTTAAAACTGCAACACCAAGTTTTTAAATTTAGATATTATTGACAATAATATATTAGTTTCGGGTGTACAACATAATAATCTGATATTTGTGTATACTTGACCACCACAGTAAGTCTAGTTAACATCTGTCACCACGGTGACATTTTTTTTTTTCTTGTGATGAAAGCACAGGGACTACAGTTAATGACATAACTGCTTGAATATTTGAAAGTTGCTAAGAGAGTAGATCTTCCAAATTCTCCTCAAACTGTTTCCTGGATACCTGTCATGTCTCTAGCATTGGCACTGGTAGTGACCATATCTGAGCTGTGTGAGGAATAAACACAAAGATGGAAACTGGATTCGGGATGATTATGCTCTTTATTCATTTAGGGAGTATATTTTTCAGCTTTACTCTGTGTGAGATGGTCTTTCAGTCACTCTAATGAAGGAAATGGTTTGCTTTACTTGGTTTTTCAATCAGTGGGAAGTGAAGAAATAGAATTGGAAGAAAATAAGAAGGAAAAGAATAAACAGAAAAGAGAAAGATGCCGAATCGCAGAGTTGGCAGTTAGCGTCCTGTCGGTGGAGTTTGGAGGCAGATGCTTATCTGGCCAGAGCAGGGTGTGAAACTTGGCACTTCTGCGGTTTCTGTTTCTTCTTACCTTTGTTTGGAAAACCGAAGGGCTTGATATTTAAACTTTCAGCAATTTTCTTTGCTCAGAGAAATAACACTCAAGAAGAAAGTTAGAATATCATTGGAAGAACTGCTGCTAAAGCTGAAGCTCAGTACTATGGCCACCTGATGCAAACAGCCAACTCATTGGAAAAGACCATGATGCTGGGAAAGATTGAAGGCAGGAGGAGAAGGGGACAACAGAGGATGAGCTGGCTGGATGGCATCACCGACTCGATGAACATGAGTTTAAGCAAGCTCCAGGAGTTGGTGGTGGACAGGGAGGCCTGGCGTGCTGCAGTCCATGGGGTTGAAAAGAGTCAGACATGACTGAGCGACTGGACTGAACTTAGGCTGTGTATCTGCTTCCCATTTTTCTTCAGCTCACACTCTGAGTCCTCTGGTTGGAAAGTCATCTGCCTCCCACTGCTTCCCGGTTCCTGCAGGGCCTGGAGGTCAGACTCCTTTGTAAAAACCCTCCTATAACACAGTGCTTCGTGCTCCAGTGGAAAAGCTGGCACAGCAGAAAGCCTCTGCCCATGCATAATTTAGCATGACCACCTGGGGCAGCAGGCACAGCTCAGAGGACCCTGTCATGTATGCCTGGGGTCCCCACCCAACTGGGGCATCTCATGACAGTGGAGGGAGAGGAAAGCAACTGTCTTGCTCCCTGAATTGGTGTCACAATTACAGTGGAAAAGCATGGTAGAGATAGGAGCTCCTGAAGCAACAGCCCACAGAGCATCTTTCACAGAGGTGAGGACAAGAGCTGGCCAGACACTCATGGCCCCAAACTGCCCCATCACACTGCAGGGGAAAATGCCAAGAAATCCACACCAGAGCCTGGTGGACAGGCTCTCCTAAACATGCTTCGGCTGCCCCCACCATCACACGGGAAGGAGAGAGGAAGGATCAAATATAACGTGGATGTGTCCAAATAGAATTGCAGGACACTTTTAGATTTTTTAAAGAGTAGTGGATAGAGGAAGTTTTCATGAGTCTGATCAAGAACAAAGCAGAGACAGAAGACTGGCTGGACTACACGGAACCCTGCATGAAGAAGGCACATCAGATGGGAGAAGCTCGCAGAGGGCCCTTTGCAAAACTGGCTGTGGCTGAGCCCTTCCACCAGGATGTTGTTGTTTAGTCACACAGGGACTACAGTTAATGACATAACTGCTTGAATATTTGAAAGTTGCTAAGAGAGTAGATCTTCCAAATTCTCCTCAAACTGTTTCCTGGATACCTGTCATGTCTCTAGCATTGGCACTGGTAGTGGCCATGTCTGAGCTGTGTGAGGAATAAACACAAAGATGGAAACTGGATTTGGGATGATTATGCTCTTTATTCATTTAGGGAGTATATTTTTCAGCTTTACTCTGTGTGAGATGGTCTTTCAGTCACTCTAATGAAGGAAATGGTTTGCTTTACTTGGTTTTTCAATCAGTGGGAAGTGAAGAAATAGAATTGGAAGAAAATAAGAAGGAAAAGAATAAACAGAAAAGAGAAAGATGCCGAATCGCAGAGTTGGCAGTTAGCGTCCTGTCGGTGGAGTTTGGAGGCAGATGCTTATCTGGCCAGAGCAGGGTGTGAAACTTGGCACTTCTGCGGTTTCTGTTTCTTCTTACCTTTGTTTGGAAAACCGAAGGGCTTGATATTTAAACTTTCAGCAATTTTCTTTGCTCAGAGAAATAACACTCAAGAAGAAAGTTAGAATATCATTGGAAGAACTGCTGCTAAAGCTGAAGCTCAGTACTATGGCCACCTGATGCAAACAGCCAACTCATTGGAAAAGACCATGATGCTGGGAAAGATTGAAGGCAGGAGGAGAAGGGGACAACAGAGGATGAGCTGGCTGGATGGCATCACCGACTCGATGAACATGAGTTTAAGCAAGCTCCAGGAGTTGGTGGTGGACAGGGAGGCCTGGCGTGCTGCAGTCCATGGGGTTGAAAAGAGTCAGACATGACTGAGCGACTGGACTGAACTTAGGCTGTGTATCTGCTTCCCATTTTTCTTCAGCTCACACTCTGAGTCCTCTGGTTGGAAAGTCATCTGCCTCCCACTGCTTCCCGGTTCCTGCAGGGCCTGGAGGTCAGACTCCTTTGTAAAAACCCTCCTATAACACAGTGCTTCGTGCTCCAGTGGAAAAGCTGGCACAGCAGAAAGCCTCTGCCCATGCATAATTTAGCATGACCACCTGGGGCAGCAGGCACAGCTCAGAGGACCCTGTCATGTATGCCTGGGGTCCCCACCCAACTGGGGCATCTCATGACAGTGGAGGGAGAGGAAAGCAACTGTCTTGCTCCCTGAATTGGTGTCACAATTACAGTGGAAAAGCATGGTAGAGATAGGAGCTCCTGAAGCAACAGCCCACAGAGCATCTTTCACAGAGGTGAGGACAAGAGCTGGCCAGACACTCATGGCCCCAAACTGCCCCATCACACTGCAGGGGAAAATGCCAAGAAATCCACACCAGAGCCTGGTGGACAGGCTCTCCTAAACATGCTTCGGCTGCCCCCACCATCACACGGGAAGGAGAGAGGAAGGATCAAATATAACGTGGATGTGTCCAAATAGAATTGCAGGACACTTTTAGATTTTTTAAAGAGTAGTGGATAGAGGAAGTTTTCATGAGTCTGATCAAGAACAAAGCAGAGACAGAAGACTGGCTGGACTACACGGAACCCTGCATGAAGAAGGCACATCAGATGGGAGAAGCTCGCAGAGGGCCCTTTGCAAAACTGGCTGTGGCTGAGCCCTTCCACCAGGATGTTGTTGTTTAGTCACTAAGTCCTGTCTGACTCTTTGCAACCCTGCAGACTGTAGCCTGTCAGGCTCCTCTGTCCATGGGATTTCCCAGGCAAGGATACTGACGTGGGTTGCTAGTTTCTCCTCCAGGGAACCTTCCCGACCCAGGAATCGAACCTGCATCTCCTGCATTGGCAGGTGGGTTCTTTACCCACTGAGCCACCAGAGGAATCCCCAGTAGGATGAGACAAAAGTGAAAATCCAGTTCAAGTTAAGGAGAAAGGCCCCTGGCAGCCAATTCCTCAGTGCTTTTCCTTATATGTCAACCTCACGCTGCTGCTGCAAGACCCACTGGAGAAGGCTCAGTGCAGCCTCATCCTTACTGGCAAGTGGCCCCTGGCCCTCCACTTCCCAGATAGAAAGGTTGGCACGACTGCCCCCTACCCTCCACAACTCCCCCCAGACCCCCCACTGAAGGACAGCACCCAGAACATGGAACGTGTTGATAGGAAGGCAGCTTCACGAGGGCAGATGCCCAGAAAAGAAACCAACTGATAAGCCTCTGGTCCCTTGAGTTAGTTGACGGGCGGGAAGCAATAAGCTGAAGCCACAGAGGTCCATACAACGAGGCAGGGTGGCCTTTGAACAGTGTGTGGGGCATACTTCATCCCATGATTGGGTGGTCCAAGTGAGCAGACCAGAAGATCAAACTCTAGTTCAGCCTCTAAGTGTAGACTCAGTGCTGACTGCAGAATGTCACTGTCAGCAACTGTAACCCTGCCGATAACTGTAACCCAACTTCAACACACAAAATTTTTACATTGACTTACTGCACAAAAAATGGTAGAACAACAGAAATCAACTATTTAACCCTCCAAAGTTAAAACATCTTAACATGAGGTTTCATTAAAGATGGCATGGTTGGGACTTTCCTGGTGGTACAGTGGTTAAGACTCTATGCTGACAACGCAGGGGGTGCAGGTTTGATCCCTGGTCGGGGAACTAAGACCCTATAATGCAGTGCAGAATGGCCGAAAGAATTTTTTTTAATGGCATGGTTGTTCTTTACTTCAAGCAGTAAACCTGCTATTGAAAACCTGTGCATAAATTAGCCTTCCCCATGGTTCTCAGTCGTGTTGACTCTTTGCGGCCCCAGAGACTATAGCCCACCGGGCTTCTCTGTCCATGGAACTTTTTAGGCATAAATTAGCCTTATGAAAGCAAATCCCTCTTAAAATGCACCAAGCAGTAGACACTGTTTCAAGCCCTTAAGTTGCACTTGCTCATTTAGCCTTCAGAAGCCCTGGAGATAAGTATTATTGACATCTTTTACTGTCTTCATTTTGCAGGTGGAAAACCATGACACAGAAAGGTTGAGGAACTTGCCCAAGGTTGCAGACCTGGGTTGGGGCTGGGCACCAAGTTTTAGGAGTCCACATTTCTAGTTACAGGATACACTGCCTCCCAACAGACTGATGGAGAATTAGCTCCCTGTCCCTCCCAAATACATAGTTTATAGAGATGTGCTGTCACACCTGGTCATGTTTGATATGAACTACATCCCACACTTAAAGCCTCTAGGGGAAATAAATACTTATTTCTGAATAAGTCATCATACAGCTAGGATAGAACTGAACTCATAAAGAGACCCCTGCTGCCTCATCTTTGGTGAATAGCCGTATCCATTCCCACTTTTTCTACTCTGTCCATGGAACTTTTTAGGCATAAATTAGCCTTATGAAAGCAAATCCCTCTTAAAATGCACCAAGCAGTAGACACTGTTTCAAGCCCTTAAGTTGCACTTGCTCATTTAGCCTTCAGAAGCCCTGGAGATAAGTATTATTGACATCTTTTACTGTCTTCATTTTGCAGGTGGAAAACCATGACACAGAAAGGTTGAGGAACTTGCCCAAGGTTGCAGACCTGGGTTGGGGCTGGGCACCAAGTTTTAGGAGTCCACATTTCTAGTTACAGGATACACTGCCTCCCAACAGACTGATGGAGAATTAGCTCCCTGTCCCTCCCAAATACATAGTTTATAGAGATGTGCTGTCACACCTGGTCATGTTTGATATGAACTACATCCCACACTTAAAGCCTCTAGGGGAAATAAATACTTATTTCTGAATAAGTCATCATACAGCTAGGATAGAACTGAACTCATAAAGAGACCCCTGCTGCCTCATCTTTGGTGAATACCCGTATCCATTCCCACTTTTTCTTTTCTAGAAACACCCCCAAACAGGTTAGGCAGCAATATAGCCAGTTAAAAACACTTACCTCCCTACAGAGGATCTATTAAAAAAATTTCAGCTAACATCATATGTAATAGTAAAAGACTTAAGCGCTTTCCCTCTGAATCAGGAAGAAGATGAGAATGTTCATATCGCCACTTCCATTCAACATTACTGCAGGTTCCAGCCAGGACAATAAGGCAAGAAAAAGAAATTAAAGCCGAGAGTTTGGAAATGAATAAGTAAGAGTGTCTTCATTACAAAAAGATGTGATTTTTTTACATAGAAAATCCTAAGGAATATACAATAAAACTACTAGAATTAAGAAGTCAATTAAGCAAACTTATATAAGCCTTTGATATACAAATCAAAAGTGAAAGCAACAGTCAATCAGTTTTGTCTGACTCTTTGCGACCCCATGGACTGCAATCCGCCAGGCTCCTCCATCCATAGAATTCTCCAGGTAAGGATTCTGACAAGGGTGACCATTCCCTTCTCTAGCAGACTTTCCTGACCCGAGAACTGAACCATCTGAGTCACCAGGGAAGCCCATACAAATCAAAGTCAACTGTATTTCTGGATTCTAGGAATGAATAATTGGAACTTGAAATTGAATCCACCTGCCAACACAGAAGACGTAGGAGCTGTGAGTTGAATCTCTTGGGTCAGGAAAGTCCTCTGGAGAAGGGAATGGCAGCCCACTCCAGTATTCTTGCCCAGAGAATCTCACAGACAGAGGAGCCTGGTCGGCTGCAGTCCATGGGGCAGTAAGAGTTGAACACGACTGAGAAACTAAACCAGCATCTCCGTCCAGTTACATGGAGATCTTTCCGGTGCTTTCAGCGTAAGGTCTCCTGCTGGCATTCAGCAGGTGTTCTGTGAGACTTGTTCCACATGTAGAGCTGTTTCTGATGCATTTGTGGGTGGAGGTGAGGGCCATGTCCTTCAGCTCCACCATCTGATTAGACCCCCTGGGCTCCTGTCTCTGGCAGCATTGAAAACATTTCTACCCTTGTATTCACCTCCAAATCCATTTGCTGTGTCCTTTGCATTTGTTTTCCATGCTCAGGTTTAAATCTACCCTCTTCCTTTTTATTTTACTGTGGAGAGGTGGAATCAGGTCGGGGTTGGGGGGAAAGAGTCCAGTCCTGACCAATAACCATGCAGGCCTCTATAAGTTTGCTAAGCTTGGATATCAGATTCTATGAAACACTTTAGGTACCATATGTCTTAAATTATATCCATCCGATATGGAGAATAATACAACACGCAGTTATTTAAAAATGTTATAGAGAAGTAAAGTAGGTCAACAATGATTTTTCCTTACTTTCTGCTTCTCCTAGACTTGTGAGCCTTTGTCCAGGACGAAGTAACCTTGCCCAGCAGATGAAAGTGAAACTGTCTGTCACTCAGTCAGTCGGACGCTTTGCGACCCCCTGGACTGTAGCCCGCCAGGCTCCTCTGTCCATGGAATTCTCCAGGCAAGTATACTGGAGTGGGTTACCATTCCCATCTCCAGGGGATCTTCTCAACCCAGAGACCGAGCCCAGGTCTCCTGCATTGCAGGCGATTCTTTACCATCTGAGCCAGCAGGGGAGAAGCCTGGTAGATGACCACCGGGTAAAGTAATGGAAATGGTGCCCCCCAAACCATACAGGATTTCTTCTCCTTCTCCTTTAGCTTCTCTTCTTTCCCTTCCCTCTAGCAGGTCTGGCACCTGTGCTCTGGCTTCCCCACATTTACCCACCTCCAGCACACGCTCACCTGGCCTCTCAGCCCTTTTACTGCAGACTCTCCTCTGTAGCCCTTTGTAGCTCCCACTCAGAGGCTGGGGTCTCCCTGGGTCCCGCCTACATTTCTCTCTGTGACTGAACCCTTGGTGTGGCCAGAGGACGTCTCCCTCCAGCATCTCCAAAGGTCTGTCCTCACCTAGTCAGCCCACGTCTCCACCTTCCTGTCTCTCCGCCTGTTTGACTCTCTGTCTTGTCTTTGTGTGGGCATGCATGTATGTACGTGTGTTCTTAATACATTTTTCTGCCTTCCAGTATTTTTTTATGTCTATCTTTATTTCATTTCTCTGTATTTCTCTCTCAAGATGAGTTCTCCTTTCTCTCTCTCTTTTTTTAAAAAAAATATTTATTTATTTGGCTGCACTGGGTCTCAGTTACACATGGCATGCGTGATTTTAGTTCCTCTCCTTGGGACTGAACCCACATCCCCGGGATTGGAAGGTGTATTCTCAGCCACTGGGCCACCAGGAAAGTCCCTCTTTCTCTCTTTTTGCAAACTGACTTCACCACTTTTCACTTGTCTATGTATTTTTAATGTTTCTGCAGCTTTCCACCTTTCTGTATTTTCTTTATTTCTCTGGGTTTCTGTTCTGGTTTTCTTCCTCTCCTCTCCTCTCCTGTTTCTATGTCTGCATTTCTGTCTTTTTTCCTGCATTGTTCCATCTGTCTTTTCTCCTGTCTCCTCTTTCTTTCTTCTCTTATGTGTTTGCCCACTACCTTATTTCTTCCTTTTCTCTTTAGGCTTGCTTCCAGATTAAGTTTGGTGTCCTCTGTGTGGCTTTGGAGAGAGGACCCCTCTCCTGGCCACCAGCAGCCTCTCCCTGAACTCTGCTCTCTCCCAAAGCCACCACTCTCTTCTTGCATCAATGGGCAGGTGCTGGTTTGTCTGCCACTAGCAGCTCAAAGAAAGCCACCAGCTGTCAGCTCACTGGTGGCTTCCTGAATTGGGAATATGGGATTCTTTATACCATTACCCTAAGCTTTGAACCGGAGCTACAATTCCAGGAGAGCCGGATAAATACATCTCATCCAAGATCTTGCTACCCATGCAAAAAGAAATGATAGATGAGGAGGGACACAGGAGGGCACCCTTGTGTCCACTGATCCTGCTTGTAAACATCCTCCAGATGTCCTAGAGAAGGCTGTGTCTTGGCTTTGGGGACCCCAAGGGAGGGGCTAGTTGTGGAATTCATGATGATCTCAGAGCTTGGGTCAGAGTCTGAACCCAGGGCCCTCCGCTCGACCACCCATCCCATCCCAGAGACCCTTGCCGGGCACCAGTTGGGCACCAGAACCTCACTCCCTTCCCTCAGAGTTGGCAGGTGGCTGCACTGCAAGACCAAGGTGGGTGGAGGAGCCCTCCTCTCAGGATATGAGCCGAGAGGGTGCAAGGCTAGGATTCCCAGAGGAACACACCATGAAAATGATGGCTAGTGTGATGCCACATAGAGGCCCAGCATCTCGGATCTTCCCAGCACACTCATGTGCCCCGTGGTGCTGGCCCTGGGTTTTACAGTGAGTCCCAGGAAAGTCCAGTAATGGGCTCTAGACCTGGAACGCAGATGTATCAGTCGGCCAGGGCACACCTCGTCCCCCACTGTCAACAGAGCTTGTTCAGCACAACTGTGTGACTGCAGACCTGCCCTCACCCTCCCCACCCTCACTGTTCACACAGGCGCCTGCCTTCCCGACAGCCTGGGCCACAGCAACAGAGACAGCATCCTCTTCAGCCACACAGGGAACAGGTTCTCCGTTCAGTTCAGTTCAGTCGCTCAGTCGTGTCCAACTCTTTGGACCTGCCTGGTACCCATGACCCCATGAACTGCAGCATGTCAGGCCTCCATGTCCATCACCAGCTCCCGGAGCTTACTCAAACTCATGTCCATTGAGCCAGTGATGCCATCCAACCATCTCATCCTCTGTTGTCCACTCCTCCCACCTTCAATCTTTCCCAGCATCAGGATCTTTTCAAATGTGTCAGCTCTTCGCATCAGGTGGCCAAAGTATTGGAGTTTCAGTTTCAGCATCAGTCCTTCCAATGAATATTCAGGACTGATTTCCTTTAGGATGGACTGGTTGGATCTCCTTGCAGTCCAAGGGACTCAAGAGTCTTCTCCAACACCACAGTTCAAAAGCATCAATTCTTCAGCGCTCAGCTTTCTTTATAGTCCAACTCTCAGATCCATGCATGACTACTGGAAAAACCATATCTTTGACTAGACGGACCTTTGTTGGCAAAGTAACGCTAGCTTGCCTGCAAAGACGCCTGTGGATGTGCATGTGCACACGGCTCCTCTCCATCCGGAACCGTCCAATCTCAAAACACATGCCTTTGCCCACTTCAGAGTGGTGTGTGTACCCTTCTCTCTGCCTTCCCCACCAACTGCTCCCTCCGAGTTTCTCCCAAGAGCTCCCCTCCACGTCGTGGTCCCAATGTGCACCTTCTGGTCTCCACCAAGCTTGCACATCCATCCACTGGAGCCCTTCTTGTCACACTGCTC